TATATAAAAATAAAAAAAAAAAAAAAAAAAAAAAAAAAAAAAATCAATCAGAGGCCTGCAACTTACTGCAGCAGGGACACCAGAATGACCCAGACTGGGGTGAAGGCAGGCCTTAGGACCCAGCTGCAGCTACCAGTTTTGCTGGCCACTCAGCTGTGGTGTGGCAGGGCAAAAAGCCGCCCTCCACTAGAGCCTGTGGAACAGCACTGAGACCCCCATCTCCTGCCAAAGCCACGGCCCTATGGTTGGTTGGATCCAAAGGCTCTGCGGGCTAGGTTTTAACTGCATGAGCTAATGTAAAAAAATCAGGTGTCAGCAGCATAGAGAATACAGTACAGTAACAATGGAGGGAAAATACAAGGATCAGACAATTATGTTAAATTCAATCTGGCAGTCTAAAGCTGAGGCACTTCTGGCATCTAGAAGTTAGCTGTATAATACCACGACTAATCTATGTAACCTTAGTTTTTTTAAGCCTCACGTAAAACTATTGTTCCTTATTATATTAATTATTTCTCAAATGTTGCCAAGTCAGTGGTCTAATCTAAAATATAAGCCTGGTACTTCTAACCAAATGTGACGTATTAAAAAATTACTGTTGACTAGCCACTTCTTCCTGGCTCACCAATATTTCTGTGCTAGTCAACATTAGATAGCTTTTTTAACAAACACTTTAAATGCTGTTCACACACTGACCCCTCAAACCATATTTTGCTTACCCGTCACTTTTTTGCATCTCAATGCTCACACAAGCACAATAAATTTTGTAAAAAACTGAAATACTGCTGACAGTGTCCGAAAAGTTGCATGCCCTGGAGGGAATAAAATCCCTAAAACAATACATTTGCAAGTTGCAGTCTACCAAGCTGATGCTCTGTATTAGGGGAACGCCTGCTCCGAGTGAATAGCAGCTACAGAAGAATCCAAACTGGCAATCGGACGGGGGTTACACCTACTGCATTCCTATCAAACTTGCAAGTTGCTGTATGTAGTCAACACATTTAATGTTTACTTACTTAGACACAAACAACTTATTACAGCGCTAGTTACCATGTAATCAATAATTATACTAAAAATGCTGCTGTCAAATTACATGCATCTTTTTAAATCAGGCTAAAAAGAAGTATAAAGCCTGAACGGCTACTTTGTTTACTTTGCCATTTGGTAACGTTTCAAATAATCAAGTTTCACAGTGCCTATTCCACATACTACTAGTCAGACAGGATAACTCTCCAGGGTTTCCACACTCGCTTGCAGAAGAGATTAAAAAGAAATGCCTTCTATGCTTTTTGAAAGCTAGCTGTGTAAACCTTTCCTTTTTAAAAAAGTTGACAAACTAAGTGCCCCAAGTCAAAATCTGTCCGACTTAATCCCCTCTCCCCTTTCTTTGATGTTTACAGTTAGCCATTTCTTCCCGGCTCACCAAGTACTATACAAGTCTGGCCAAGTAAACTAGCTATCTTTTCAGTTTCACTCGTTATAGAAATTTTTAACTACAGTCAATACAAACATTTTCAGAGAAGTCCAATTTTCACACGTCCGGAGGTCCTTTAACAGAGCTTGAAATTTAAGGATTGCCAAATGCCTAAGCAAAATGAACTTAGCTCTGTCCTCTTACGCCTGTAGAGTTCTGAAAGTTGTGTCAAACCAATGGAGCATTTCATGCTACTTCTTCCTAGTGGCCACTACCACAAGATTCAGAGGCAAACAGAATTGCCAGTCCAGAACCAGGAGACTACTTTAGGCTGTGAGAGTTTAGTTTCTCTCAGTAAAATCTGTAAGGGATCCAACTGCAGACACTTGTTCCTGTAAGTAACTTTAAATCCTACTACACTGTCATTAGCGGCTTGCAAGAATAAGTTCCACATATAAGCGTGACAGCTTAAAAAACTACAGATGTGTCATCCTAGATGCACCCTCCCACCCCCACCCCAAAACTCCTTGTTCTACTTTCCAGCTTTCCATTTATTTCACTACAGTTACTAATCCATGACCAAACTGTTTCCTCACGATAGCCTTTAACAGCTTTGTGAGGAACACTAGGTAAAAAGAGAACTTTAGAAATCCAAATTCACACACACCTTAAACAAATCTTCATAGAAAAAGGGAAAGTGTGTACTTGCAGACCAAGTGTGCTTTGCAAATTCAGTAGAAACTAGTGAGAGCGCCTACAATTTTACATGTTTTGCCTCCATTTGAAATGTTAGCCCTCACTATGGGGGTAGAGGGCAAAAGCTGAATGTGTTGCCTGTGGCGTGCGATAATGAGAAGCTATGGTTTTACGAAAGCCTTTCTTTAAAAGGCTTGGAGAAGTAGGATTTCTTCTATGAACACAACATGCTCACAGCCCCATCAATTAAGGTCAAGCCTATTAATGAAGTTCACCATAAAAGCCTGGTATGCATCAGTTCCAGACAAAGGAATGAACCATCTTCTCAAAAACAGCTTACCTGGTGTACAAACACATCTTCCTTGGTGTCATTCCTGCAAGACATAATAAAATTCAATGTAAAACTGAAAATTCAGAAGGGTGTGTAGTAACACTAAATAACTCTTAGCTCAGTAAAGGATCAAAATAACACTTTCTTTCTGAAAGTGGCATCACTTTGCTTATTAACCAGGAAGCTAAACAGGGGAGCAGAAAAACCTCTCCACATTTTCAGAGAAGTGAGCCTCTCAAAGGTCACCATTAATTAGGTACTATCCTTTTGAGAAAGCAGTTCCAGCTCCATCCAGCCCTCCCACCTGCCTAATCTCACTGTCTGCATAACATCACTTCAGCACGTACTGTTTCTCTACCCCACCATTCACAGGTCCAAAGAAGATGGGATGGAAGAACTAAAGAGTAGCTTGGCAATATACAAGCCATTCCACCTCCCCCCACGCCCAATAATGGCCATCCTGTTAGATGCTTTACTCAAGTCACAAGTCTCCAAGAAGGTAAAACAGTCAATCTAAGAATTGGCCAATCTTGTTAACAGGTGGTTAATACCTTTAACAACAGGTATCACAATCATGTGACCTTATCAGTAGCGATTCTTCCAAGAGGAACATGAAGGTACAAAGGCTAAGAGCCTTGCCATGATCCTTCGCTACAGAAGGAGGGTGCCAGGTAAGGAATGAGATTTTACTACGGCAACTGTGATTAAGTGGTTTACAAGATATGCTATCACCAGTGGGATATTACATGATACAGATACGAACAAAAGGCTTCTCAATATCTATCCGCCTTGTTCCAGTTTCATATTTGCTGCCTCACCCACCCTGTACATTAAACAGGAGCACTAGCAAAGACAGCATAGATATGAATCTGCTGCCCCCCAGGCAAACTATTACGTTAACTTTGCAGTCATAAGAGGGAAGTGGCAAACACTACTGAGAAAACACACAAACTTTAAGAGGTCAGAAGGATAGGAAGGAATGAAAATGGAGTGCTTCTGCAGCAGCCAGCAAGTTTACTTTAGTGACCACAACTCAAAACTCACAACATGCCACCTAAATTTCGTCCTGAAATTACCTCAGGACTACTCAACCCACTGACTGACTTGGCAAGCTGGGATTATCTTTCCAGTCTTCCATTAAAATACTTCCCAGAATGAACCCTCCACTTGCAGCCAGGTAAAACCAGCCTGAAAAATCTACAGGTCAACACCCCCACCTCCCCCAGCAGCATCCAGGGGAAATTAAAAACAATGCGCAAGGACTTGCGCTTTTCCAGCAATTACTGATACTTCAAGTTTACAGTACATGTCTGACACTAGATAAGCAAGCTGGAACCACCTAGATGGACACAGCGACAGAATCTAGCTAAAAACCCCAGTACATCAATGTGCTCCAGTTGCTAATATTTTCACCACGTCAAATGTCTCAAGCCGTCCATGTCCACCTTTCAACTTTATTTAATGCCAATGAGGGGATTTACAATAGATACCAGATGCCTAGTTGGCTTAAGATGATCCAAAACTTATCAGAGAATCATAGAAGTCAGGTCAGAAGGGACCTTGTAGATCTTCAAGTCCGACCCCCCGGCCTGGGCAGGAGAAAAACTGGGCTCAGATGACTCCAGCCAGGTAGGCATCAAGCCTCTTCTTAAAGCCCCCCAGGGTAGGAGCCAGCCCCACTTCCCTTGGAAGCTGGTTCCAGCTCCTAGCTGCTCTGACCATGAAGTGGTTCTTACAGATGTCTAATCTAAACCTCCTCTCCAACAACTTGTGGCCGTTATTCCTTGCTACCCCAGGGGGGCGCTCGGGGATACAAAGTCTCTCCCAAACCCTTCTGGTCCCCCCTAGTGAGTTTATAGACAGTCACCA